AGAGAGAGAGAGAGAGAGAGAGAGAGAGAGAGAGAGAGAGAGAGAGAGAGATTCTCTCTTCACCATGACAGAAACTTCACATCTTTTCAATTATGTCAGCATAGCACCCTCTACTGCTTCAGGAAAACACAAGCTTTGCAGAGACAACATCAGAACGTGACTAAGGATGTCCCTTTGCCCAGCTAAGCAGCAAGAGGTAACAGTTTCCTCCATGTCACCTCAACAGTACTCCTTCCTAAAGCACAAAGCTATGTGAAAGAGATTTTATCTTTTTTCTTCTTTGCATTTGCTCTGATTTACTTGCGCATTTTTTCTGTGTATCTTCCCTGATTCCAAGCTAGTAGGGGATTGTGTGATTTCTAACTCTCATCAGCTATGGTAATATTAAGAATTATTGGATAACAAAAATAAACATAGTGAGGCCTCTGCATTAAATCTCAATCAGGGACCCCAAGAGAAAAGAGTGCAGCTATTAGAATGCAAAGCCTCTAATATCTTTAGCAGAAACCTTCGACAGAGCATGAGAAAATTTTTCACGATTGGATTTATTTAAATTATTCTTATGTTCTGATTGAGATCCCAAAAGAATACATTTACAAAAAATGGCAATCTACAGCTATTCACACACACCTACTTTTGGATGTTTGGTTTCTCCAGCCAATGTGTAATTAACAATGAAATAAAAACTCTGGGAAATGTGATTTATTTCCCATAGATTTTTAAGCAGTAAGACCTCAAAAATCATATGTTCTTTCTTCCACTTGGGCTATCTATTTTTTCTGACTAAGAAAATAAATTTATGTTATTCTGCACAAGGAAGACTCATAATTTCCAGAAAAGTCTGCTAAACAGTGAAGAAAAAAATATACATGTAACATTACAAAATGATATATTTTAATGTTTTATTTCAAATATGTTTTCTGTAAATCAGCCAGAGGTCAGCTTTGCACAATCCATACCTATCCACTAATTTATGAAAGAGGAAAAAAATTCTCAGGAATATTATAGAGATTTCTACTGATTTATTTGCCATAGTACTTATTCCATTGCAAGCCTGCATGATCACTTTCAGGGAGAGCTAGCTGAGAATATTTCATTAATTAATGTAAATTCCTAATGTGTTTTTAATAAGACATGTGAATTTTTCAGCAACACATACAATGAAATTAAAACAATATAAAGATTAGCATTGCTCTTGAGCAAGGATGATAAGCAAATTCATGGAGCATTACATATGTTTTTTTGTAAATATACATAGACCAGGTATTATTGCAACCAACTTTATACAGCAAATACTACTTGATCTGCTTGCCAAGTGCAAGGTCCTGAGTTCAATTCCTGATTCAAAAACCAAAAACCAAAAAAAAAAAAAAAAGAAAAAAGAAAAGAAAGAAAGTAAAGAAAAAAAGAGGCAGATAGATTTGAAAACAATCCTACTGGGGAACTTTAATACTCTAGCAAATAGTAAATCAGGCAAAAA